GAAACAACCACTGGAGCCGGAGCACATAACCATTGCCTATAGCATCAGCCGAAGAACTGATGGGTGGATAGCCGGCGTGGGAGGTCTGGGGCTCCCCCTTCCCCCTCCCGGGGAGGGGGGGAGCTGCGCAGACAGCGGCGCGGTGACGTATGACGTCACACTAGTTTCCTTGTTTTCTGTTGAAGAGTTCTATTCACTAGTTCGGCTTAGGTAGCAATTTTCACCAGAATAGGGGTTTGTTTTGGAATGCTTACCTTTCTGGATGCTTGACCCGGTCGATGGCAGACATAGAATGCTTCCAACCACACGGGGGTTTCTATAGGCCATTGCTCCCCTTGCCTCTCTGAGGGGGCCAGGTTCTGGCTCGTGGTCCCCGGTAGGCCCTAGAACTCCATACACATGACTGATGCCAAAGTCTGACATTAGCATATCAGCCGGTAAAGCTCCGGGGAGCCGACGGGGCTCCCCCCAGAAAAGCCTCCAGATCTTTAGCCCCTGCTATTGCATTGCTCTTCAACAAGTCACTTGAACTCCAAACCTTTCCAGATATTCTAAAAAAAAAGTGAGAGTAACGCCTGTCCACAAATGTGGTGATCTCACAGATGTTAACAACTACAGACCTATATCAATCCTGCCAAACTTGTCAAAAATTTTTGAAAAACTAATCTATAAGCAGCTTTACTCTTATCTAGCCAAACACAATATACTTAGCCCTTGCCAATATGGCTTCTGACCCAAAAAAAGCACTAACGATGCACTTATTAGTATGCTTAACTCGATTCATACAGCTCTTGATAAAAATGAGTTCCCTGTTGGGTTATTTGTGGACCTGCGTAAGGCTTTTGACATTGTCAACCACCAAAACCTTCTTCTTAAATTACATCATTATGGAATCAGAGGACACTCCCTGCAATACCTCAAATCCTACCTTACTGACAGGCTCCAGTATGTTTCTGTGAATAATTCAATTTCTCCCACCGTACCCATCAACATTGGTGTTCCTCAGGGCAGCATACTTGGCCCTCTCCTCTTTCTCATCTACATTAATGACCTTCCAAATGCCTCCCAACACCTCAAACCAATTCTATTTGCTGACGACACAACCTTCATTTACTCCAGTCCTGACCCCCTTGCTCTAAATGCCACAGTAAATACTGAGCTAAATAAAGTCCATCTTTTTTTTTTTTTTTTTTTTTTTTTTTTTTTTTTTTTTTTTCCTTTTTTTTTTGAGATATATACAAGAGTTGTTACATTCTTGTACAGCCACTAGTACGCGTAGCGTTTCGGGCAAGTCCTTAATCCTATGGTCCCTGGAATACGATCCCCTGCCGCGAAGAATCGTTTTTTCATCCAAGTACACATTTTACTGTTGCGTTAAACAGAGGCTACAGTTAAGGAATTGCGCCCAGTAAATCCTCCCCGGCCAGGATACGAACCCATGACATAGCGCTCGCGGAACGCCAGGCGAGTGTCTTACCACTACACCACGGAGACTGCTAAATCTTTGGCTAACTGCCAACAAACTCACCCTTAACATTGACAAAACTTTCTATATTCTGTTTGGCAATAAATCCTCTAATCAATCTCAAAATAAACAATACCCAAATTTGTAACAAATTAGATGGCAAATTCCTTGGCATTCTCATTGACCACAAGCTGAATTTCCAGGGACACATTCTAAATATATCAAAAAAAGTTTAAAAAACTGTTGGCATTCTTTCTAAGATCAGATATTATGTACCCTGCCCTGCCCTGGTGACTCTCTATTACTCCCTTATCTATCCATATCTCAACTATGGTATTTGTGCTTGGGGCTCTGCTACCCAAAATCATTTACGTCCTCTAATTACTCAACACAAAGCTGCTATTAGGACAATATCCAACTCTGGCCCCAGACATCACTCGGTACCGCTACTCAAATCTCTGAATATGTTAGACATTAAGTCACTGCACATTCTCTCATGTGTATTATACATATATAAAACACTAAACTGTAATGCCAATCCTGACCTCAAAAGCTTCATAGAAGGTTGTAACAGAACCCATGAGCACCACACCAGAAATAAATACAGTTTTGATATTCCTAGAGTACGACTTAATCAAACTAGAAATGCTCTACAAATCAAGGGACCCAGATTGTGGAATGACCTTCCCAACCATGTTAAAGACTGTACCTCTCTCAACCAGTTTAAGATAAAAACGAAGCTATACCTAATAAATTCCCTGTAACCTACCTTACCCCTCTATTGTCAACCAATGTCTGTTTTTTTTAAAGAGCGCTGTTTGTCGACAGAATTGTATTTGTGCTGCTTTTTCAGCTATGTTTTCATTCCATGTTTTCATTTTACTCTTTATGCTCAATTAGTATTATTTTTTTTTTAGATATATACAAGAGTTGTTACATTCTTGTACAGCCACTAGTATGCGTAGCGTTTCGGGCAAGTCCTTAATCCTATGGTCCCTGGAATACGATCCCCTGCCGCGAAGAATCGTTTTTTCATCCAAGTACACATTTTACTGTTGCGTTAAACAGAGGCTACAGTTAAGGAATTGCGCCCAGTAAATCCTCCCCGGCCAGGATACGAACCCATGACATAGCGCTCGCGGAACGCCAGGCGAGTGTCTTACCACTACACCACGGAGACTGCTCTTACCACTACACCACGGAGACTGCAAAAAGCTTTAGTCATTTAAGTTTTTCATGCCCGAAACGCTTTGCGTAATAGTGGCTTTAGGCATTGTATATACTAGCCCTATCTATAAATCCATCACTCTTTGTAAAATCTCTTGTATGTATGTACCTTACCTAAATAAACATTTGATTTGATTTGATTTGATTTGAGTGTTGTAGAGGCTTAGAGTTTTGGAGAGAAAGAGGTTAGTTGATGAATTTATATCCTGTGTATTATTGAATTCAGATTCCCAGTTAATATTGTGAAGTGCATTCGAGAGATTACATAAAGCCGATTCACTGTGCAGCCTGAATGACAGTTTCTTGCTTTCTGGTGGTGTTATGTCCATGTTTGCTATGAGGAAGGTAGGATAGTGGTCAGTTGTTCTGTCACAGATTACCCCAGATGTAAGGGGAGCTGTTATATTAGTTCATAAGTGATCCAGGGTAGTGGCAGATGTTTGAGTGACTTGGGTGGGCTTGGTGATTGTGGGGATTAGCATATAGGAGTGCATGCTGTTACGGAAATAGTCAACTTGAGGGTTGTTTTGAAGACCCAGGTCAATATTGAAATCACCTCCCAGAATGATGTGATTTTTGTTGAGATTGTTATTTATGATAAGATTCCTTACGTTGTCTGAGAATAAAGCTATGTTGGTATTGGGAAATCTATAGATGGCACCGATGGTCAGGGAGGATTTAAGGAATTTACTGGAGAACTTGGCTAAGGTATATTTACAATAGTCGTCTCTATCACTAATGACACTATTGCAGATGAAGGTATCTTTGTAATATATTGCTGTACCGCCACCTTTTTTATTAGGCCTGCAGTTATGAATGGCTTTATAACCAGCTAACTTGTAGAGTTGTGTATAGTCTTTACTTAGCCAAGTTTCTGTTAAAATGATGAATGATAATTTAGTACCTAGTGCTGTGAGTAGTACATTTATATCATCAAAATGTTTACGAAGTGATCTAACATTTTGGTTGTAAACTGATAAGCAGGTGCTATTTAGGAGTTTGTTTTTTTGCAAGATTTGCTGTGTAATACCTGCAATAATGATGGTCAATGTGCCGATTTGTGTGGGTATGAGACAGAAGATTTCGATCAGGATCAATATCAGTAAGCATATAGATACAATAATGTCATGATACAATTAGATAAGCAATTACAGGAACAGTTAAATACTAAATCTGCTGTTAATAGAAAGTAATTATAGCAAAACACAACAATAAATGCAAGTACACAAAAAAATAGAAACAATTAGAAGTATAATAAAGATGACCATAGATGCCCAGGAAGGATACACAAGTTTGGTGGAGAAAACAACAAATCAGTAGAGACTGTGAAGATTAATATATAACAAAAAATAATGAGACAAATGATCATCATAAAGTAAAATAATCTTAAAGATAATTAATTTTATATAGCTTAGTTTTGAACCTATAATTAGTATGAACTTAAGACAACAAAATGAGCTCAATAATTAATTTTAATAACCGACAAATGAAAGTTTAATTAAAATTTAAATTTAAAAAGAACAGGGTAAGATTAGATTTAAGAGTAAAAGTTTACAATGATACTGAGGTAGATGCTTGCATAAGTGCATGGAGACTAGACAGATTAATTAGTAACTTGTATGGATGAGAGAACATTAGTTAAATGGTAAGACAGAGACAGCGCCTTGGACCAGGTTAGATTAAGTTAGGTTAGGCTCTAACACTCAAGAGTTATTTTCAGTATTAGCATTGGGCGGGTTCAGGTTCTGAGATATACCACAATCATTAGAGAAGGCCAGTAGTTGTTGGTCACACTATTTCCTATCTTTTCCTGCACTTTCCTTCTTTACAATGATTGTTCCATTCTTAGTGTAGCACTGTTTGATAAGACTAGGGTTTAGTTTGCGAATTTTACGCATTGCATTGGAATGACATGCATTGGTAAATTTTAACTGGTCTGAAGTCTGACTGAATATTTTACAATGTATATTCTAACATTTCCTTGCTAGCAAGATAATTTATAACATGCACAAAGTTTACAAAAGCCTGAGTAAAAGTGTGGTGGGTTGTGCGGGTGCGACCTGACCAGGGAACACCTCACCCTAGGCCAGGCTCCCTCCCCGACCCGCCCAAATATATATTAATAAACTAATGGCAAAATCCCAATACAAAACTTAATCTTAACTTCCTAAACTTGAGAGGAGCGACAGTTGAATATATTCCTTAAGTGTAGAGGAGTTTGGGGTGGGCGTAGTGGACAATGGGAGGAGCCATGGAGGAGTGGAGGAGTGTAGCTCACACACTGCTAACTTGTCTCACTCTCACAAACCTGGCAGTATATAGAGAAGCATCAAGATGTCCTTAACGGTCATGTCTACATGTTTGAGTGGAAGAGAGGAGTTGAGGTGTTCAGTGGCCCATAATGTTGGGTCACTCGTGAGGTGTGAGAGAGAGCGGCCACCTGCCTCCAGCGACCACCGACCACCACCCACCTCACACTCCACCTTCACCGCGCCTCTACCAACCTCACAACACTGGTTATCACCACTACTATATATACTCTCTTCACCAATAAGCAGATGTATGTATGTATGTATGTATGTATGTATGTATGTATGTATGTATGTATGTATGTATGTATGTATGTATGTATGTATGTATGTATGTATGTATGTATGTATGTATGTATGTATGTATATATATATATATATATATATATATATATATATATATATATATATATATATATATATATATATATATATATATATATATATATATATATATATATATATATATATATATATATAACAAATCTCTATTTATTTATTTATTTACTTATTATATCGCTCTTGTCAACAGCCTCAACCACCAACAATGCATTTAATGCGGTATTACATGTTCAAAAATATTATAAATAACATAGGATAACTGTATTGATGTAAAATATCATTCCAGAACTAAGAATTCTGTCATATACCAGAAAGGGTTGAGGGCCACAGGGCGGGCGTTGAGGGCCATAGGGCGGGGGGTTGAGGGTTACAGAGCGGGTTGAGGGCCACAGGGCGGGGTTGAGGGTTACGGAGCGGGTTGAGGGCCACAGGGCGGGGTTGAGAGTCACAGGGCGGGGTTGAGGGCCACAGGGCGGGGTTGAGAGTCACAGGGCGGGGTTGAGGGCCACAGGGCGGGGTTGAGGGTTACGGAGCGGGTTGAGGGCCACAGGGCGGGGTTGAGAGTCACAGGGCGGGGTTGAGGGCCACAGGGCGGGGTTGAGAGTCACAGGGCGGGGTTGAGGGCCACAGGGCGGGGTTGAGAGTCACAGGGCGGGGTTGAGGGCCACAGGGCGGGGTTGAGGGTTACGGAGCGGGTTGAGGGCCACAGGGCGGGGTTGAGAGTCACAGGGCGGGGTTGAGAGTCACAGGGCGGGGTTGAGGGCCACAGGGTGGGTTTGAGGGGCCACAGGGGGGGGGGGTTGAGGGCTACAGGCCACAGGCCGGGTTGAGGGCCACAGGGCAGGGTTGAGAGACACATGGCGGGATTGAGGGCCACAGGACGGGTTGAGGGCCACAGGGCGGGGTTGAGGGCCACAAGGCGGGGTTGAGGGCCACAAAGCGGGTGTTGAGGGCCACGAAGCTGGGGTTGAGGGCCACAGGGCGGGGGTTGAGGGCCACAAGGCGGGTGTTGAGGGCCACGAAGCTGGGGTTGAGGGCCACAGGGCGGGGGTTGAGGGCCACAGGGCGGGGGTTGAGGGCCACAGGGCGGGCGTTGAGAGCCACAGGGCGGGGTTGAGAGCCATAGGGCGGGGGTTGAGGGCCACAGGGCGGGGGTTGAGAGCCACAGGGCGGGGGTTGAGAGCCACAGGGCGGGGTTGAGAGCCACAGGGCGGGGTTGAGAGCCACAGGGCGAGGTTGAGGGCGACAGGGCGGGGTTGAGGGTTACAGAGTGGGTTGAGGGGGCCACAGGGTGGGGGTTGACGGCCACAGGGCAGGGTTGAGGGTTACGGAGCGGGTTGACGGCCACAGGGCGGGTTTGAGGGTTACGGAGCGGGTTGAGGGCCACAGGGCGGGGTTGAGGGCCACAGGGTGGGTTTGAGGGGCCACAGAGGGGGGGGGTTGAGGGCCACAGGGCAGGGTTGAGAGACACATGACGGGGTTGAGGGCCACAGGGCGGGGTTGAGGGCCACAGGGCGGGTTGAGGGCCACAGGACGGGGTTGAGGGTCACAGGGCGGGGTTGAGGGCCACAGGGTGGGTTTGAGGGGCCACAGGGGGGGGGGTTGAGGGCTACAGGCCACAGGCCGGGTTGAGGGCCACAGGGCAGGGTTGAGAGACACATGACGGGGTTGAGGGCCACAGGGCGGGATTAAGGGCCACAGGGCGGAGTTGAGGGCCACATGACGGGGTTGAGGGCCACATGACGGGGTTGAGGGCCACAGGGCGGGGTTGAGATCCACAGGTCGGGGTTGAGGGCCACAGAGTGGGTTGAGGGCCACAGGGCAGGGTTGAGTGCCACAGGGCGGGGTTGAGGGCCACAGGGCGGCGTTAAGGGCCACAGGGCGGCGTTGAGGGCCACAGGGCGGGGTTGAGGGCCACAGGTCGGAGTTGAGGGCCACAGGGCGGGGTTGAGGGCCACAGGGCGGCGTTGATTGCCACAGAGAGGGGATGAGGGCCACACAGCGGCGTTGAGGGCCACAGGGCGGAGTTGAGGGCCACAGGGCAGCGTTGAGGGCCACAGAGCGGGATTGAGGGCCACAGAGCAGCGTTGAGGGCCACAGAGCGGGATTGAGGGCCACAGGGCGGAGTTGAGGGCAACAGGGCGGCGTTGAGGGCCACAGGGCAGGTTTGAGGGCCACAGGGCGGCGTTGAGGGCAACAGGGAGGAGTTGAGGGCCACAGGGCGGGGTTGAGGGCCACAGGGCGTGGTTAAGGGCCACAGGGCGGGGTTGAGGGCCACAGGGCGGGGTTGAGAGCCACAGGGCGGGGTTGAGGGCCACAGGGCGGGGTTGAGAGCCACAGGGCGGTATTGAGGGTTACAGAGTGGGTTGAGGGCTACAGAGCGGGGTTGAGGGCCACAAGGTGGGGTTGAGGGGGCCACAGGGTGCGGTTGAGGGTCACAGGGCGGGGTTGAGGGTTACGGAACGGGTTGAGGGCCACATGGCGGGGTTGAGGGCCACAGGGCGGGGTTGAGGGCCACAGGGTGGGTTTGAGGGGCCACAGGGGGGGGGGTTGAGGGCCACAGGGCGGGGTTGAGGACCACAGGCCGGGTTGAAGGTCACAGGGCGGGGTTGAGGGCCACAGGGCGGGGTTGAAGGCCACAGGGGGGGGGCGGGGTTGAGGGCTACAGGCCACAGGCCGGGTTGAGAGACACATGGCGGGGTTGAGGGCCACAGGGCGGGTTGAGGGCCACAGGGCGGGGTTGAGGGCCACAGGGCGGGCGTTGAGAGCCACAGGGCGGGGTTGAGAGCCACAGGGCGGGGGTTGAGGGCCACAGGGTGAGGGTTGAGAGCCACAGGGCGGGGGTTGAGAGCCACAGGGCGGGGTTGAGAGCCACAGGGCAGGGTTGAGAGCCACAGGGCGAGGTTGAGGGCGACAGGGCGGGGTTGAGGGTTACGGAGCGGGTTGACGGCCACAGGGCGGGTTTGAGGGTTACGGAGCGGGTTGAGGGCCACAGGGCGGGGTTGAGGGCCACAGAGTGGGTTTGAGGGGCCACAGGGGGGGGGGTTGAGGGCCACAGGGCAGGGTTGAGAGACACATGACGGGGTTGAGGGCCACAGGGCGGGGTTGAGGGCCACAGGGCGGGTTGAGGGCCACAGGACGGGGTTGAGGGTCACAGGGCGGGGTTGAGGGCCACAGGGTGGGTTTGAGGGGCCACAGTGGGGGGGTTGAGGGCTACAGGCCACAGGCCGGGTTGAGGGCCACAGGGCAGGGTTGAGGGCCACAGGGCGGGATTAAGGGCCACAGGACGGGGTTGAGGACCACAGGGCGGGTTGAGGGCCACATGACGGGGTTGAGGGCCACAGGGCGGGGTTGAGATCCACAGGTCGGGGTTGAGGGCCACAGAGTGGGTTGAGAGCCACAGGGCAGGGTTGAGTGCCACAGGGCGGGGTTGAGGGCCACAGGGCGGCGTTAAGGGCCACAGGGCGGCGTTGAGGGCCACAGGGCGGGGTTGAGGGCCACAGGGCGGCGTTGATTGCCACAGAGAGGGGATGAGGGCCACACAGCGGCGTTGAGGGCCACAGGGCGGCGTTGAGGGCCACAGGGCAGCGTTGAGGGCCACAGAGCGGGATTGAGGGCCACAGGGCAGCGTTGAGGGCCACAGAGCGGGATTGAGGGCCACAGGGCGGAGTTGAGGGCAACAGGGCGGCGTTGAGGGCCACAGGGCGGGGTTGAGGGCCACAGGGAGGAGTTGAGGGCCACAGGGCGGGGTTGAGGGCCACAGGGCGGGGTTGAGGGCCACAGGGCGGCGTTGAGGGCAACAGGGAGGAGTTGAGGGCCACAGGGCGGCGTTGAGGGCCACAGGGCGTGGTTAAGGGCCACAGGGCGGGGTTGAGGGCCACAGGGCGTGGTTAAGGGCCACAGGGCGGGGTTGAGGGCCACAGGGCGGGGTTGAGAGCCACAGGGCGGGGTTGAGGGCCACAGGGCGGGGTTGAGAGCCACAGGGCGGTATTGAGGGTTACAGAGTGGGTTGAGGGCTACAGAGCGGGGTTGAGGGCCACAAGGTGGGGTTGAGGGGGCCACAGGGTGGGGTTGAGGGTCACAGGGCGGGGTTGAGGGTTACGGAACGGGTTGAGGGCCACATGGCGGGGTTGAGGGCCACAGGGCGGGGTTGAGGGCCACAGGGTGGGTTTGAGGGGCCACAGGGGGGGGGGGGTTGAGGGCCACAGGGCGGGGTTGAGGACCACAGGCCGGGTTGAAGGTCACAGGGCGGGGTTGAGGGCCACAGGGCGGGGTTGAAGGCCACAGGGGGGGGCGGGGTTGAGGGCTACAGGCCACAGGCCGGGTTGAGAGACACATGGCGGGGTTGAGGGCCACAGGGCGGGTTGAGGGCCACAGGGCGGGGTTGAGGGCCACAGGGCGGGCGTTGAGAGCCACAGGGCGGGGTTGAGAGCCACAGGGCGGGGGTTGAGGGCCACAGGGCGAGGGTTGAGAGCCACAGGGCGGGGGTTGAGAGCCACAGGGCGGGGTTGAGAGCCACAGGGCGGGGTTGAGAGCCACAGGGCGAGGTTGAGGGCGACAGGGCGGGGTTGAGGGTTACGGAGCGGGTTGACGGCCACAGGGCGGGTTTGAGGGTTACGGAGCGGGTTGAGGGCCACAGGGCGGGGTTGAGGGCCACAGAGTGGGTTTGAGGGGCCACAGGGGGGGGGGTTGAGGGCCACAGGGCAGGGTTGAGAGACACATGACGGGGTTGAGGGCCACAGGGCGGGGTTGAGGGCCACCGGGCGGGTTGAGGGCCACAGGACGGGGTTGAGGGTCACAGGGCGGGGTTGAGGGCCACAGGGTGGGTTTGAGGGGCCACAGTGGG